AAATATTTGTGATGTCTCAGGCATTTTTCCCTTGAACTATTTATAAATAGCAATAGTTATAGAAATGTGTCAAAGATATTTTTAATTGAAGAGTATTAAAATTAATTATGACAGAATGCTGAGAAAGTAAATCAAAGGATTCTTTAAAAAAAAAGTGTATTACATTCAAAAGACCGCAGATTTTACTATGTTACAAAATGTTGAGAAGTCCTTTTCTTGGGGATCCATAATTAGAAAATAAGACTAAATGGTTAAGAGAAACAGGCAAGTTGCCCACATTTTTAAGAGAGAAGAAAATAATTGGTTTTGGGGCTACTAAAAGTGACGGCCTGTATGCCTAGCATAGGACATCCGAAACTACCACTCACCCTACTGGCTGCTCCTCAGTTCTGAATTTAGTCCTGCTGTACCTACTATCACTGAAGAATATTGCATATGATTAAGGGACCATATAATCTGTTGCCCATACTGGGATTCTCAAGGGTAAGGGTTTATTAATAGCAATAATTACACTGGACAATAGACAAGCACCAGAGCTGTCTCCGGTAAAACAGGATATATGAACATACTTCTTAGGCTTCTTATGTTGCCATGGCATCATCCAAGGCCTCAGATTGGAGAAACCTCAGTTACAGGCCCCATCCAAACTGACAACAAACCAACACAGTGTATATCTACATTTTCAGGTTAGAAAATGTAGATGTTTCTACATCTTAGAGGTGAGAATTTGCCTCATTTGATGTGGAAATTCCCTCTAAAAAAGAGGTTCCATATGCTGGGTGTTCAAATTGAATGACAAATATAAATTGCATAAGTTTTAAAGTAACTTCTTGTTTATCAAAACTGGTCAATTGAATTAAAGTACATGCACATTAAAAAACATTCCCATCCAAATGACCATACAAGTTCTTCAATATTTACTCTGTACTCTAGCTACAGAAATTCTGGAATTTTACTTAGTTGTCAGTTTAGAGTGATACTATAGCATAAAAAAATGTGCTTCTAAGATGATTTAATTAGTTGATTTTCTAATAGCATATTTCACCCAAGATTAATATTATTCAAGTAATGATATTCTTTTGTTAAGCATACAATTTGTCTTTTCAGCCTGGACACTGAAAGACAAGGTTAATTAATGGAGGTGTTAAACCTGATTTTATTCCTTAAAACTTACTAATTTTCTCCCAGGTAATTTTAACATTTTATCTGAGAAAATGTATCATAACTTAGTCTATTTGGACATTTCAGGAATAGTTACATAATTGTTCACTGCTCATAAATACTCTTTTTACCCTCACTCCTTGCTACCTCCATTACTACATACAGTTAGCTTTCATTTGCTCTTCACATCTCAAGTTTTATAGCTTTAGACTCCTATGGTAAATGTGTTCATAGCGCCATGTGACATTGTATAGTGCTATTCATGGTTCTAATTTTATGGTTATTTTTGTATTTATTTAATTATTTGTAGCCACCTACCAGATAGTTAATTCCAAGAGATCAGTGATTTTTTTTATTTTGTTTATTGGAGAGAGAGAGAGAGACAGGGAGAGGGAGAGAGAGAACAACAAGGAGGAGGGCAGAGAGAGAGGGAGAAGCAGACTCCCCACTATCAGGGAGCCTGATGCCCAGCTTGATCTTGGGACCCCAGGATCACAGCCTAAGCAGAAGGCAGATGTCCAATGGATTGAGCCACCCAGGCACCCCCCCAAATGATCAATGATTGTATCTTTGGCTTTTTTTCCTGTGATAAGCAGAACACCTAATGTACAGTAGGTGCCTAATAAAATTTGTTAAATGGATGGATAAATTAAAAGTAAACACAAAGAGGAGCACTTGGGCTCAGTCAGTTAATTGTTTGGTAATTTCAGTTCAGGTCATGATCTCTTGGGTTGTGGGATCCAGCCCCACATTGGGCTGTATGCTCAGTGGAGAATTTGCTTTAGATTCTCTCCTTCTGCCCCTCCCGCACTCTTACGCAGATGTGCTCGCTTGCTCATTCCCTCTCTCAAATCTTGAAAAAAAAAAAAAAAAAGTAAAAATACAAAGATAGTTCTTTTGATTAAAACTAAAATGTGATCAGATCTATTTCAAATCAGTTAAATGATTAAATATACTTACCATTTAGGATATTTACCCATCAACTTTTATTTCCATATTAACTCTGAGGGTTTTTTAATACAATTTTAGTTAGGTAGATTAAGCTACCAATATTATTATCACTGGACAGAAGAGAAAATTTAGAGTTTAAGAATGAGGATGATTTCTCATGAACTGTTTATCAAAATAGTGACTAGATGACATTTACTAAATGGTAATAAACTTCTACTAAGTTCAGTGACCAAAGAACTGATTTAAAATACAGATCTCTTTTTGTCTCTAAATGGAAATTTATTGCAATATTTAGACTTTTAGGTTTGCATGTGACTAAATGAATACTTACTAATAACTAAATAAAAAAGGAATGCTAATATTTGCTATGCTAAACTAAACTTAATTTGGTAAATTTTTCCATAACTCTAAGTATTTTAGTACAAAGTCTCACTACCACACAGTAATTGTTTGGCACCAAAATAAAGGTCCTACTGTACATGTGTATTTATAGATAATTGGAATTTTTACAACTCATGCAGAGGACTTTCATCAGTACATCACCAGAATTATTTTAAGTGTGTTCTGGTATTCTATAACAGTTATTCTTGCAAACGATTACAAATTATTGTAGATTTATGTTCCTCATTATCCATTCAGTTTGTTGGATTGTGGATTGAATAAACACCCCCTATTGGAACGACTTGTTGGACCCTGGCTCACCGGGTGCCAACGTGGCCCGGTGGACGCCCCAGAGACCCAGACCCCAGACAGGCAGATGCAATTAGCAAGAGGGTTTATTGAACGTTTGCGCAAACGGGCTCTCCGCCTCCGAGGAGGAAAAGAGCCCCGATTAGCAATTACAGGGATCTTTTAAAAGGCAAAAGGAAAGAAACTGCCTAAAGACAAAAGAACCGCGGGAGTCGCATGGCATCCAGGTTGATTTCGGGGAGGGTCAACATGAACCTATTCAGGGACATTCCAATCAGGGTGTGTGTGGGGGGGGAATGGTTTTTTTACTGTAAACAGAATGCTTTTAGTTGCTAAAATTTCAGGAAGAAGCCTGGATGGGCTGCCTCTGGATTAGGGCTGGCCCTACTTACAAGGGGGGAGGTTTCTTCATTCCCTCCTCTTGTTTGGGCTGATTTTAACCTTAAAATCTTAGGGAACATTTATTTCTTCAGTTTGGAGGACCCGACATTGCTGAGTTAATACCAGAGCTTGGGTAATAGACAATCTTTCTCGGATGAACTGGAGCAGCCGGTTGAGGACGCAGGGGCCGAAAGTTAGCAGCAGGAGCAGGATAACTAGAGGGCCCAGAATGGTAGAGATTAGGGTGGTCAACCAGGGAGACTGATTAAACCAGCTTTCAAACCAGCCCTGCTGGGCCTCCCGGTCCCTTTGTCTTTTATTTGACCTTTCCCTGAGTTTGGCCATGGAGTCTCTGATGACTCCAGAATGGTCTGCATAGAAACAGCATTCCTCTCCCAGGGCCGCACACAGTCCTCCCTCTTTCAGAAATAGTCAATCCAAGCCTCTCCTGTTGTGAAGTGCTACTTCTGAAAGTGAGGTGAGGGACTGTTCTAGCTTAGAAACGGACTGCGCTAGTGTCCGTAGATCCTCATCTACAGCTGTTTGGAGTTCTATATAACGTCGTGAGCCCCGGATCGGAGCAGCTGCGCCAGTACCCACCCCAGCAGCGACCCCTAGTCCCAACATAACGGCTAAGGTTAGGGAGACAGGTTCGCGCCGAAAACGGGTGGGATGTTTATCATACTGATTTTCTAGAGTTTCAGCAGGGTGATAGAACACCCTGGGTATGATCTGCACCATGACACAGAAGTCGTTTGAGCTATTTAGAACCTTAGCCGACACACAGGGGGTGAGGCCTTTGTTGCATGCCCACCAAGTTCCCGGCTGGGGCTCCAGGTAAGAATCAGTCCCCAAAATCGGGGTGGTAGTGTTGCAGAGTCTCTGGTAGCCCCGGGGGGGTGTTCCTATGCAGGTTCCCTGTCCTGTAACTTCTGTTAAGGGTGAATTGTGGTTGGGAGTCGGGTGTGCATCCCTGAGTGCTAGTGATGTTATTATAGGTCCCTGAAGTAGCAATTCCCTCATAATAAGGGGGGGGGGGGAGCAAGGCAGAGCCAGCAGGATTTAGTTACATCGGGGCTGGTTCGATTAAGGGCCAGGAATGCCCCTATGATAAGATTAAACAGTCGTTGTCCCGTCTCGGGTGACGACCGAGGGGTTGGAGTGACCGCGAAGTTAGTGGGTGCGGCACTCCCTGCGGCTAGGGCCGGGGCAGCTCTTTGTTCCCCGAGGACCGCGTTAGGCCCGATCGCCACGGGGTCTGGGGATTCTATTTTTAGTTTAATTCTGAATATAAAACCATCATCTGTTCTTTCTTTGTATAACCTGAGTCCCCACGTATATCCATTGGCCCAGTAAGTAGCCCTTTTTCCGGGCTCCGTGAAGGATATCCGTAGGGGATGACACCACCCTTGGCAGGGCCCATAATTAAGGGTTTTCCATTTGCTAAATGTCGGGTGAGTATAGTTAGCCTTGACAGTGATATAATCCCAGGAGGAGGAGGGCCTCCATTCTGTATCCCCAGTAGTTTCGCACCCCCAATTTTTACAATAGAAGTATTCCCCTCCTCCACAGGTGGGATTTAGCCTGCGATCTCTGTGGTGCCCGGGACAGACATAAAAGGGAAGAGTGCTTAGCATGGCCCTTCTGTCAGGCGTGCCACATCCTCCCCATGGGTCTAATCCCAGTCGCCCTGGAGGGCTTTCTTGGTTAGGGGCTCTAGAGGTGTCGAAGTATCCCTCTAGGTCCCATGGGCTAGGGGCCCCTATGGTTAGCTTGCATAGGTCAGGATATAGGTCAGGCCACCAGGTTCCCACGGGGGCGGTCTTAGTTATAGACCAGACCTCGTCACCCCCAGACGTTAGTACCTGCCAGGTTAACCTTTTGAGGGCATGAGGGTCACCTTTGGCGGAGGTGAAGAGCGCTAGGAGAGGTAGGAATATAACAACTGTCATTGAACAATTTTTGAAAGTCTTATCTTGAGCGGGTTTTGGGTGCGGTGGAGCTTCCATTGGAGTGGCTCGTCCGGTCCGTCCTGGCTGGCGTCAGCGGTGCTCGTTGATGGGGCGCGCTGGACGTGTGAGGCGTGGACCCAAGCAGCAATGCCGTCTACCTTTAAGGCGGTTGGGGTGGTCAGTAGTACAGTATATGGGCCCTTCCAGCGGGGCTCAAGCGTCCTGGACTGATGTCTCCTGACGTAGACGGAGTCACCGATCTGGAACGGGTGTGGGCCGGTTGTGTCTCCGGGGCGGTAGACAGCCGCAAGGGGTTTCCAGATCTGGTGCTGGATAATCTGGAGCGCCTTTAGCCTGTCCTGTAAACCGGGAGTGTTAGCAAGAGGGTCAATAGCAGAATCTAGTAAGTCCGTTACTGGTGGGGGACCTCCATAGAGAATCTCGTAAGGAGTTAGCCCATGGCGCGCGGGAGTGTTCCGGACTCGGAACAGAACCATAGGGAGGAGTTGGACCCAGTCTCTAGTGCCAGTCTCCAATGTCAATTTAGTTAGGGTCTCTTTAATTGTTCTATTCATTCTTTCTACCTGACCTGAGCTCTGGGGTCTGTATGCACAATGTAATTTCCAATTTATCCCCAGTAATCTGGCCACCAACTGACTTACCTGGGAGACGAAGGCGGGCCGTTGTCCGACCCTATTACCTTGGGCAGTCCAAACCGGGGGAAAATTTCTTCCAGGATTTTCTTGACAACCACCTGGGCGGTTTCTCGCTTGGTGGGGAATGCTTCTGTCCAGCCTGAAAAGGTATCTATAAACACTAGGAGGTACTTGTTACCATATTTACCTGGCTTGATTTCGGTGAAGTCTACTTCCCAATTAGTTCCGGGTCTTTCTCCCCTCATCCTGGTTCCCTCAGGCATCTTGAGGTGTTTGGTATTTACCTTAGCACAAGGTACACAAGCGTCGGTTACCTGTTGGATCAGGGAGGGGAGTTTGGGAATGTAATAGGTCTGACCTTCTCTCCGGAGGAGTGCTTTTAATTTTTTGTGTCCGAGGTGAGTCCATCGGTGGAGGTGAGTCACCAGTTCTTTGGCCCTTTTCTGGGGCAGGACCGTCTTCCCTTGGTGTTTCCAGACCTTCATTTGCTCGTCATATTTTGCCCCTATTTGCTGGACGATATCTAGGTCGCTGTCTGAGTACTCGAGAGAGAGTTGCCCCGGTGTCCGGACAGCCTCTGGTACTTGTAGGGAGAGGGCCTGTGGGCCTAGTGCAGCGGCCCGTGCTGTCTCATCGGCCATCCTGTTCCCCTCTGCTACTGGGTCATTGCCTCGCTGATGCCCAGGACAGTGAATTATACTCAGTTTTCTCGGCAGAAAGAGGGAATGGAGAAGATCTTGTATTTCTTCTCTGTTTTTGATGTTTTTACCTGCTGAGGTTAGGAGACCCCTTCTACGGTATATTTCTCCATGAACATGGGCAGTTGCAAAAGCATATCTGCTGTCAGTATAAATGTTGACCTTTTTGTCCTTAGCCTTTCTTAGGGCCTGAGTTAGGGCTATAAGCTCTGCCCTTTGAGCTGAAGTCCCAGGCTCTAAGGCACTGGCCCAAATGACAGCTTTCCCATCTACCACGGCTGCCCCGGCTTTACGCTCACCATTTCGTAGAAAGCTACTCCCATCGGTGTACCAGGTTGCTTCAGCATCTGGCAAAGGCTGGTCCGTCAAGTCCCCTCTGGTGCCATGGACTTCAGCTAGGATCTGGTGGCAATCATGCATTACTAGGGAGGGGGACTCGGTTTCTGGAAGCAAGGTGGCCGGGTTTAGAGATGTAGCCGTTCCAAACCGTATCCGCTCAGAATTCAGTAACATGGCCTGATAATGGGTGACCCGGGCGTTTGAGAGCCATCGATCAGGGGGCTGGCGGATGACTGTCTCTACGGCGTGGGGGGCCACCACAGTGAGGGGTTGGCCGAAAGTCAACTTGTCTGAGTCTTTTACCAGGACTGCCACAGCCGCTATTATTCGGAGACATGGGGGCCATCCTGCAGCCACGCTGTCTAATTTTTTTGAAAAGTATGCCACGGGCCTTTTCCAGGGTCCCAGTTTTTGAGTTAGGACCCCTTTGGCTATTCCATTATGTTCATCAACATATAGCGTAAAAGGCTTGGTTACATCTGGGAGGCTCAGGGCAGGGGCGGTCAATAAGGCCCTTTTTATTTTGTCAAAAGCCAGTTGGTGCTCCTTTCCCCAGTGGTAGGGGGTGTTGGATTTCGTGAGAGATATAGGGGAGCCGCCATCTCCGCAAACCCGGGTATCCAGAGGCGGCAGAACCCAGCACTGCCGAGGAACTCTCGTAGTCCTTTGGCATTAGTGGGTGCTGGGATCAGGGCTACAGCCTTTTTGCGGCTCTCCGTCAGCCACCTCTGGCCTCCTTCCAGGAGATATCCCAGATAGGTCACTTGTCTCTGGCCTATTTGGGCCTTTTTGGCGGAGGCCCTATACCCCAGTTCTCCCAGTCTCTCAAGCAGGGCCCCCGTACCTTTTACACAATCCTGTTCTGTCCTAGCCGCCAGGAGCAAATCATCCACGTACTGCAGAAGGACGAGGTCCGGATGGCCAACTCGGAAATCTGCCAAATCCCGATGCAAGGCCTCATCGAACAAAGTGGGGGAGTTTTTGAATCCCTGCGGCAGCCTTGTCCAAGTGAGTTGTCCTGAGAATCCCGTCTCAGGATCTTTCCATTCAAAAGCAAAAATAGGCTGGCTTTGAGAGCTTAACCTTAGGCAAAAGAATGCATCTTTTAGATCTAACACCGTATACCAGACATGGCTTGGGGGTAAGGTGCTGAGCAAGTTGTAGGGATTTGGCACCGTGGGATGTATGTCCTTTGTCCTCCAGTTAACCTCTCGTAAATCTTGTACCGGCCGGTAATCTCCTGTGCCGGGTTTTTTTACGGGTAATAGAGGAGTATTCCAGGGCGACTGGCAAGGTATTAAAATGCCCAATTGTAATAGTCTCTGTATATGGGGCCGAATGCCTTCTTTGGCCTCTTTGCTCATTGAATATTGCCGGATCGATATGGGGGTGGCCGAGGGTTTTAAGTTTATAATTATGGGCGGCTGGTTTACAGCTAGTCCCATTCCGGCCGTTTCCACCCAGGCCTGAGGGTAGTTAGTGAGCCATTCAGAATCTAGGGGCTGCACGGACGGTGGAGAGTCCTCGTGCAGCCGGTGTTCATCCTCTAGGCGCAAGGTCAGTACCTGGAGGGGCTGCCCTCCTGCGCCAGTAATAGTGGCCCCTTTTTGCTGAAAATGTATCTGGGCCCCTACTTTTGAAAGAAGTCTCGCTAGGAGAGGGTAAGGGCAGTCTGGGACCAGTAAGAAGGAATGCGTTACTTGCCCAGTGCTCAGGTGGACCTTCCGTTCGGTTGTCCATCGATATAACTTGCCTCCAGTTGCCCCCTGAACCCAAGACGTTTTAGAGCTCAAGGGTCCTTTTGCCTCAGTTAAAACTGAATGTTGAGCTCCCGTATCGACCAGGAAGGTCACCGGCTGTCCCCCCACTTTAAGGGTTATCCGAGGCTCAGGGGTGGGTTCCTGGCCCTGACACCCCTAATCTTCATCTTCTAGGGACAAAACAGGAATGGGCTTCTTTTTAGGTCCCTGCGTTTGGCCCTTCCTTGGGCAATCTTTAACCCAATGTCCTTTTTCCTTGCAGTAGGCACACTGGTCTCGTTCAACCCGTGGTCCTCTTTTGTCTCCCAGGTCCCTACTCTGTCCTGACTTACTCTGCCCTGAGCCCTGTACTACGGTGGCCAGTATCCTAGTCAGCTCTTTATCACGTCTTTTATCTCTCTTATCCTCCCGTTCCTCTTGCTCTTTACGGATCCTTTCCTCCCTTTCCTCTAGAGTTTCTCGCTTGTTAAAAACCTTCTCTGCCTCTTTCACTAAGTCCTGTAAGGTGTACCCCTGAAGTCCCTCCAACCGTTGTAACTTATTACGAATATCCGAGGCCGACTGTCCAATGAAGGACATAATTACATCTGGTTGGCGGTCTTCAGCCAAGGGGTCAAAGGGAGTATCCATGCGGTAGCCTTCTATTAACCTCTCCAGAAAACCTGCCGGCGTCTCCTCTTTTCCCTGCACTATAGCACGTACCTTTGCCAAATTGGTGGGGCGACGCCCTGCCCCTTTGAGACCCGCTAGGAGTACCTGGCGATAGAGACGGAGCCGCTCCCTACCAGCAACAGTGTCGTAGTCCCAGGTCGGGCGAACCAAGGGGAAAACATCCTCAATCTCATTAGGCAGCTGGGTCGGCCTCCCATCCGCCCCCGGGACGTTTTTCCGAGCTTCGAGGTAGACGCGCTGTCTCTCCTCCGTGGTGAGGAGAGTCTGCAGGAGCTGTTGGCGGTCATCCCGGGTCGGCTGGTGGGTCAACAGAATTGACTCAATTAATCCGGTTAGCGCCTGGGGGTCTTGGGAGAAGGAGGGGTTATGAGTTTTCCAGTTGTAAAGGTCCGAGGCAGAGAACGGCCAATATTGCATCTGGCCGCCTACTGACCGGAGGGGAAATGCCTGGGAGGTCCAGACGTCTTCCGACTCTCCCCCGCGCTCTCGCCGAAAGCGGAGGCGACTGGCGAGCGGGGGTGAAGCGAGGGGTTGCCCCTCTGCCCCCGTAGAGTCGGGGGACGGAGCTGAGGGAGCGAGGGTAGGGGCCTCCGAGCGGGGCGTTGGGGGTTGGGCATAAGGGGGAGGGGAGGAGTCCAAGAGAAGGAGACTGTCCTGGTCCCCTGGGAGCACAGGCGGCTCCTTAGGTTTTGATTCAGGAAATTTTAGGGGGCAAAGGGTGGAGGGAGAGGAGGGACGGGGAATTGGGGGAGTGTGGCAGGGAGGGAGTGAGGGTCTCGGGCCCGGTCCCCCTTGAGAAGGGATAAAGCATTTTATCCAGGGGGGTGGATTCTTAGCGAGATCCTCCCATACTATGATGTACGGCACCTGATCGAGGTGTCCATTGGGTCCTGGCTGGAAGACCAGGGCCTTCACCTGCAAGATAATATCAATATTAAAAGTTCCGTTCCTGGGCCCCCCGACGTTGAAAGCCGGCCACTCTGAGGAGCAGAAGGTGACCCATCTTCGTCTTCTGACTTCGACCGAAAGATTGTGTGCCCGGCCGGCGACTTCTTTCCAGTGATCTAGAGTGAGGCTTAAAGGGGTGGTTACAGTCTGCCCCATGGGTGTAGAGAAGGGGTGAGCGGTGAGGAGGAGGACAGGAAAGGAAGAAAAACACGGAACGAACAGACGCACACGAACGACAGGACTGGCGCGGCAGATTCAGATGGGAGCGGTCGCGAACCACGACCCTCCCCGAAGAGGAGGGAGTGCCGGGGCTCCGTTCCTCTTCCAGACCACTCCGGAGTCCGACTCCGGAGGGGGACCAGGGGTCTCGGGCACGTCTGCCTCCCCCGCTGGTCCAAATACAGAATACAGAGTACAGCGTCCTGCAGGCACAATACAGACCCGGCCAGTCAGACAAACGGACGAGACAGATAGGACATTTAGCGAGCTCGGTCTTACCTCCTACTGGTTTTAGGATTGAGTCTGGGCGTCTCAGATCCCGGACGAGCCCCCAAATGTTGGACCCTGGCTCACGGGTGCCAACGTGGCCCGGTGGACGCCCCAGAGACCCAGACCCCAGACAGGCAGATGCAATTAGCAAGAGGGTTTATTGAACGTTTGCGCAAACGGGCTCTCCGCCTCCGAGGAGGAAAAGAGCCCCGATTAGCAATTACAGGGATCTTTTAAAAGGCAAAAGGAAAGAAACTGCCTAAAGACAAAAGAACCGCGGGAGTCGCATGGCATCCAGGTTGATTTCGGGGAGGGTCAACATGAACCTATTCAGGGACATTCCAATCAGGGTGTGTGTGTGGGGGGGGAATGGTTTTTTTACTGTAAACAGAATGCTTTTAGTTGCTAAAATTTCAGGAAGAAGCCTGGATGGGCTGCCTGTGGATTAGGGCTGGCCCTACTTACAAGGGGGGAGGTTTCTTCAGACTAACGTAGTAATTTTCTTATGTTAGATTACCATAACTGAAGTTATCTTTCAGACTTCACTTATTAATTGCATTAAGAATATTATTTTTAAATGTTCATCCTAAGTCATTCAGTAAGTGTAGAGCTTGGATTTGTAACCTATTGATAACATAAATATTCCAAAAAGATTTTACTTTATGTTGTCCAAGGACAGTACTTTAAGAACTAGTGATAAAAAGTATGGCACATATGCTGTTCAAATGAGAGAAATTATAAGCCTATTCCTGAAATAAATAATGGTATTTATTTATTCCTTCCCTCAAGTTGCTTATCTTTATCATCTCACCTCAGTGAGATTTTTCTACCGTTCCAACTCCTATTAAAAAAAACCTTTTAGACCATTATCCTAAACAAATGAATCCAAGCCACAGAGTTTTATCATACTTTTGTACTAAAGTCAGCTGGTAGTCTTTCAAGTTATTTATCAGTAATAATAAAGTTATGAAGTTTGAAAATGACTTATACATCATAATATACCTACATATAAATATTAGAGTAGGTTCAAAATTGTATCATTAAACAATCATCCTTATTCTCTTTTACTGACATCTCCAAACTTCTGTATTAGTACAAGGGAATTAACCAGTACTGATCAAGGTAATTATGAAGGAAAAAGCACATTAAAGTTAGTAAGACTTGAAGACTGCTCTTTTTCCAAATATACACAACTATACATAATTATACTTTATGACAATGAATAGTCAACATATTAATATTTTCTGGAAATAGAACAGTTTACCAATTACACCTCTTAAATCAGACTTTTGAGGGCATTGTCAGCATAACTTGAACAACTTCTCATATATATGAAGAGTAAGTTTGGCCATAGCTTTAGTTAAATAAAATAGATGCAAATTGAGAAAAATAACAATCTCAAACATGCTAGAAAGACAAATCTTCAGAAACTCATCAAATAATTATATTAAAATATATTTTCATTAATATTTACAGAAGTAGTGGTCTGAGAAACTTTGGAGGAATTGGAAATAACTTATTAGAATTAAAAGTTATAAAAAATCTAAATTTGAAGTTGTCCTTGGAATTCTCTACAAAAGAGTAAACCTGGGTTGAATTCAGTCTTTACCAATTAATTTTTTATACTACAATCCACCCCACAGTTTCTCCAGG